AGATGCCAGTCTCAGATTGTTGGGGTCTCAGCAGCCAGCCTGAGACCCTGGCCAAATCCCCTGCCCTTGGAAACAGGAGCTGGCTCTGTTCACAGGGGCCCAGGGCCTTGTGCTAGCTCTCCGCACCCAACTTCCAGGCACTCTGGTTGAGAGGATAACGGGATGTAGGATGCACCCTTACTATCTGCCTGTGTTAACACACCCAGCCCTGAAGGTGGGAAATGTAAATCATTAACTAACATCTGTACTGTGCCTGTACCGAGCTGCCCTAGGAGATGTATGTATAAATACCCCTGTGTGAGAGCTAATAAACGGAGAGCTGCTTGACCTCCAGCTTCCCCCCTTCTCTGCATGATTCTTTCTCGGTAGCAGTGGGGGCCCGCAGTGTGCAGGAGGCCAGGGCAGAGGCTTCTCCCCTTCCCACTCCCTCTCCTATAGGGAGTAAGTCCAGCGGCTTGGGGGATCATACTCCAGTTTGCCAGGGTCAACTGGCCAGGACCCTGACATCACATGTCTGAGTTTTGGGTTCTATTCCTATGCATGAAAAATAAATAAATAAAGGCGGGGGGTGCTGTTTTTTTTCCTCTTTGGGTCACACCCGGCGATGCTCAGGGGTTACTCCTGGCTCTGCACTCAGGAATTACTCCTTGCGGTGCTTGGGGGACCATATGGGATGCCAGGGATTGAACCCAGGTCAGCCACATGCAAGGCAAATGCCCTACCCGCTGTACTATCACTTCGGCCCCTGGGTTGCTTTTTTTTTTTTTTTTTACTTAGTTCTTGTTTTAGGTGTCACACCTGGCTGTGCTCAGGGCTTACTTTTGGCTCTGCACTCAGGAATCACTCCTGGTTGTGCTTGGGGGACCATATCTGGTATAGGGGTTTGAAACCAGATTGGCCCTGTACAAGGCAAACGCCCTCCTAGCTGTACTATCTCTCCAGCCTGGGTTTGCTTTTAATTCTGTGTGGCCACACCATTCTACAAAGAAATGATCATCCATGTCAAGAGAGGGGTTCGGCAGGGTGATACCATTTCACTGAAACTCTTCAGTGCCACCCTCAAGAATGTCATGCGACTACTGGAATGGGAAGAAATGGGAGTGAAGATAGATGGTCGGCAACTACACCACCTCTGCTTTGCTGATGACATGATTCTAATAACACCAAACATTAGCCAAGCAGTACAAATGCTGGCCAACTTCGACCGTGAGTGTGAAAAGGTCGGACTACAGCTGAATCTCACGAAGACAATGTTTATGAGAAACAGCCTCATTCCTGACATTCCATTCACTCTCAATGGGACAAACATCTCCGAATGCAACAGTTATGTGTACCTAGGTTGAGAAGTCAACATGACAAATGACCTGGCACCTGAGTTGCGCAGTAGGAAGAGAGCGGCTTGGAATGCCTACAAGAGCGTCGAAGAAATAGCTAAGAGGACGAAGAACCTCCGGCTCCAGGCATATCTCTTTGATTCTACTGTTCTTCCTGCATTAACATAAGTCTCAGAGATGTGGGCCCTACGCAAACAGGATGAGAACGCTATTGGGTCTCCCAAAGAGGAATCGAAAGAGCTATGCTCGGAGTATCACGTTTCACTCAAATGAGAGAAAGAATCTGGAGTTCCGACTTCCATCAACGTCAACGGTCAAGAATCATGGATGCTGTCTTATTTGCCAAGGTGTCGAAAATCAGATAGGCTGGACACGTAATGAGATTTGGAGATGACCACTGGACTAGAGCCGTTACCGACTGGATTCCATGGGATGCCAAAAGACCATGTGGCCGCCCACCTCCGAGATGGTCAGACTTCTTCATCACGACCCTGAACGATCGGTTTGAGGCTGTTTGTGTTCCTAGAATGAACAGATGCCACTGGGCTACACTAGCATGCGACAGGAACAAATGGAGATGTTACTGGCGCCCGCTCAAGCAAATGGATGATTAGTGGGAAGTCAAGTGATCAAGTGGCCACCAAGGATGAGAGACTCTCCCAATAACAAGGTCCAAGAGGCTGGACTGTGTCATGGGCCACTCACTAGGTAGGTGATGTGGTCCTGTTTTGCTGCCACCCTCATGGGCTCCCATGTCACTCAGGGAGGGATTGAACTGGGAATGCCCCTTGCCCCAGTTCCCAGACCCTCTGAGTCTTCCTCTCTTGCTTCCACAATCTATCTCAGAGAAAACCCAGGGCCTTTGCACATGCTGCTGTCTGGAGCTGGTTCTCCACATCCTTAGGTCTCTCTGCACAATGGTCAGCTCCCCAGAGAAGACTGACCAGTGTTTGTTCCCACTATGTGTTCTCTCATGATCAGACTGACCTCTCTCTCTCTCTTTCTCTCTCTGTCTCTCATTTTTGGGGCCACACCTGACAGTTCTCAGAGCTCACTCCTGGCTCTATGCTCAGCTGGGCTCAGGGGACCATATAGGGTGCCGGGGATCAAACCCAGGTTGCTGCATGCAAGGCCAGCGCACTCCCTGCTGTACTATGGCTCCAGTCCCCATCCCACTCTTTTAAAGAAACTGCATTCAGGGACCAGAGTGATAATACAGTGAATAGGGGGCATTTGCTTTGCATGCAGCAGACCCGGGTTTGATCCTTGGCACCACCAGGAGGAATTCCTGAGCATCACCAGGTATGGCCCCAAAACCAAAAATTTAAATTAAAAATAAAACAGATAAATAAAGCAGCCACACTCAGCAGAGCCTGCAGGGCACCTTGGGGCACTCCCAGCCATACTCAGCCTGGCAGCGGTGTGGGACAGCAGGTTTGGTGTTGGTGGCCTTTGGGTGCCAGGGATCAGCCCAGGGCTCTGCGTATGCCCAGCCTGTGTTCTACCAACTTCAGGCACATCCCCAGCACTCATTTTCCTTCCAAGTTTCAACTGACCTTCCCATCCCCACCGCTCTGGCTGACATTCCAGAATAATTTGCCTGTTTCTGCTCTGGAAAATGTCACCTCCACAGGAAGCAGGATGACTTGTTGTGTCATCCTGGGGAGCAGCACTCAATAAAGAGTAGTTGCCTTGACAGCTGCCTGATTCTAGAGAATTTTGTGATGTTTTAAGGAACTCTGTCTTGGGACAAAGGTTTCTTGGGGTTTTTGATTTGTTTTGGTTGTGGGACCAGACCTGGCGTGCTCAGGGCTTAGTCCTGGCTTTGTGCTCAGGGATCACTCCTGGCAATGCTCAGGGATTGAACCCAGGTCAGTTGTGTGCAAAGCAAACAAACACCCTCCCTGCTCCAAATTGCTCCAAATCTCCCAATACAGGGTTTATTAAGCGCCTTCTTCACTACCGGAAACAAGGGGAGAGGCAGAGAGGCTCCATTTCTCTAAGTCAATGTCTTTTTTTTTTTTTGCTTTTTGGGTCACACTCACACCTGGCGATGCACAGGGGTTACTCCTGGCTCTGCACTCAGGAGTTACTCCTGGCGGTGCTCAGGGGACCATATGGGATGCTGGGAATCGAACCTGGGTCGGCCGCGTGCAAGGCGAACGCCCTACCCGCTGTGCTATTTCTCCAGCCCTCTAAGTCAATTTCTACCTGCCTAGGGGAGATGCAAGGGAGACTCGGGAAAGGACAGCAAAGGTAGAAATCACTGAAAGAGGAAGTGGTCCCAGAGGGAAGGGAACACGGTTTTTCTCTGTTGCAATCCTAGGTGCTCCCTGGAGGCGGTGTCCCACTAGTCCTATAATCTTGGTGCCTTCCAGAGGGAGGACGCAGTTTCCTCTGTGCTGTCCAGCTCTTCCCCTCCAGAGAATCCCCGAGTCAGCTCTGGAGGTCCCGGCTCACCCCACTGAGGTTACCAGCAAGAGTCTGTGTTGGTTGGAGTGTGCCAAGCCCCGTGGCACCCAGCCCCTTCCTTGTGGGTGGGAGTGTCCTGCAAGGGCTTTGGCTGCCCTTGTAAGGTGGTGAGGCTGGGGACACCCGAGATGCCTGGTTTATAATTAACCATGACACGTGGGGACCCACCCCCTTACACCCGCCTTCTCTAGCCCCCCCCAACTCCAATGCCAAGGGGCTCACACTGCAAACTGCACGGCAGGTTCTAAAAATAAATCCTTCCTGGACCCAGCCTGCGCTGTCCCTCCCTGTCCCTCCCTGTCTCTCCCTGTCCCTTCCACTGCAGAAATCTGCCTGTTGTCCCCGGTGGCGGCTCCTCCCCGATGCTGGCCCTGAACTCAGCATTCACCCACCTGATCCCTCCATCTCTGCAGCAAACCTGGGGTCCTGAGCTAGGGGCTGAGCCGGGGTTCTGGGAGGTCAGGGGCTCCCCTAGGACAGGGGCTAAAGCATCTGGATTCGGGACTGGAGTGATAGTACAGCAGGAAGAGCGTTTGCCTTTCACACAGTCAACTGGGTTCAATCCCCGCATCCCATACGGTACCCCGAGCATTGAGCATCGTCAGGTGTGACCAAAAAAAAAATAGGGGGCTAGAGCGATAGCACAGAGAGTAGGGGTTTGCCTTGCATGTGGCTGACTCGGGTTCGATTCCCAGCATCCCATATGGTCTCCTGAGCACCGCCAGGAGTAATTCCTGAGTGCAGAGCCAGGAGTAATCCCTGAGCATCGCCGGGAGTGATCCAAAAAGCAAAAGTAAATAAAAAAAATTAAATTAAATTAAAAAATAAAATAAAATATCTGGATTCTTTCTCCCCCTTTGGGAAAGTGGAGCGCCCCCCCTCCATACACACACATACATACAGAAGCTTCCCCCAGTGGCAGGGGTCAAACCAGAGCGCAGGTGGTTTCTGTGTGTGTGGGACAAGCCTGGCCATGGCTGCGTGTCCCCGGCCAGGGGCCAGCTGTGACCGCCAGCCCGACTCAGCACTTACAGGGATCAGCTTAGGGGAGCCCAGGCGCAGTGCTGAGGGCCGCCCATACAAGGTCATGGGCTGGACGCAGGGCACGCCTGGGTTCAGGGCGGTGAGGTGAGAGGCTCAGCTGCCCTCCAGCCCCCCCCCGAACCTGCGGGGAGCCCTCTCAGCCAATGGCAGGGCTGGGCCCCCTATAAAAGGCAGGGGGTCCCCGCCCTTCCTCCGGGTCCCTGTGGTCTCCAGGATTCGAACTCCCCTTTCAACTCAGCCCAGCCAGGTACCACCCGCGGAGGGGGATCAGGGTGGGGTTCAGTCTGGGGGTGCCTGGGGGTCCCAGCAGCCGACCTGGGCCTGGAAGGGGCCTGACATGCCTCCATCTTGTACGCTGGAGCCTAGTGAGAAAAGGCTGAGCTGTGGGGACTGCCCTGGGCCCCGCTGCGACTGGTGGTCTCTGGGACCCTGGGGAGGGTGACCCTGAGACAAAAGGAGATTTGGTGGCTGCCAGCTGTCCCGGGGTCTGTGGGGGCTCTGGGCTGGGGTCTCTGCAGGATGTTACCAGTCCGGGCACCACGGTTGGGGGAGGGGGTGGTTCTGTGTCACCCGTTGGGGTTCCTGCCTGTGTGACACCCTGGGCCTCTCCTGGGTCCTGTGCCTGCCCTTTGGGGTTCCAGTACAGGTGCCAGGGTCCTGGGCATGAACCTGAGCTGACCAGGGGTCTGCCCTGGTCCTGTGGGGTCTGGGGGCTGTGAACTGTGGGGCCAGATCTGTTGAGCCACAGTTCTGGGGCTCAACTGTGTTTCAGGGTCCCCCTTGGCAGGTCCCTAAGAGGAAGAGGAGGTGGTACAATCTGAAGGGGGCGTTTCTGGGCTGAAAAACCCTGAGCCCTACCAGACCTAGATGCATGTCCTTCCGGCCCCCCCGGGCCCCCCACCAGGCCCACCTGTCTCCAGCCTGCTGACTCCAAGCAAGCTGAGCCCCTGGAATGCGGGGGTGGGGGCGGCAGCTGTTTGAGAAGAGGCATCCAGCCAGAATCTATAAATAATTCCCAGCCTGGACCACAGCTCCTGAGATCTTGGGGGCGCGGGTGGGGGGGCTCCCCATGACCTGCCCCTTTGGCCTGACGCCTCGTCCTGCAGGTCACCCTGCTCTCCCTCCCTCCCGCCCGCCTCCTGGCTAGAGGAGCCATAGCACAGCGGCGAGAGCACTGGCCTTGCACGGAGCTGACCTGGGTTGGATTCCCAGCACCCTTGATGGGCCCCCAAGCCCCTCCAGGAGTGATCCCTGAGCACAGAGCCAGGAGTAAGCCCTGAGCACCGCTGGGTGTGATCCCCAAACCCCCGCAAAATAAATAGACAAAATCAATAAAGGAATCACTTGCTTCTTCCTGAGATTGCCAAGCATGAGGCATGAAAAGCCTGAAGCAGAGAATCACTCTCCTTCGTTGCAGTCTCGACTCCACACCAGGGGCTGCAATCAGAGAGGGCCTGCTCTTAGACCACAGCTCAGAGAGGCTGAGCAATTGGCCGAGGACACAGAGCACGAAAATGGTCCCCCGGAGTAGGGCACTCGCCTTGCGTGTGGCCAACTCGGGTTCTATCCCCAGCATCCCATAGGGTCCTTCGAGCACTGCTGGGAGTGATTCCTGAGCACAGAGCCAGGAGTCAGCCTGAGCATTGCCAAAGGTGGCTACCACCCCTTAAGAAATAAAAAAGAGAGAAAAAATATGGCTCACTGTGGGGGTCAGAGCGATAGGACAAGGGAGGGCATTTGCCTTGCACGAAGCTGACCCAGATTCTATCCCAGCACCCCATAAGGTCCCCTGAGCACCACCAGGAGGGATTCTTGAGGCAGAGCCAGGAGTCACCCCTGAGCATCGCTGGGACTGAGCCAAAACCAAAAGAGACAAGAAAAGAAATGGCCCACTGGGTTCTCAGCCTGTACTAGTGGGGGAATGGGGTGAGGGCCTCCTCCTCAGCACCCTGTCCCCCCTGCACCCCCTGACTTCATGGAGGAAGTACCCACCCCCGTTCATGCCCATCCCCAGCCCCACCTTCCACTCCCACAGGGTCCAGCAGGACCGGCTGCTCCTTGTGAACAAACAACAGGCAAATAATTTCTTCTTGCAGCCCAAACCCTTTCCTTAGAACCCTCTATGGTGGCGTCCACATGGCCCCAGAGGGCAGTGTGAGGAGACCCCAGATTACAGCCCACACAGAGAGATGCAGCAACTTGCCCAAGGTCACACAGCTTGTTCTCAGTGGCAGAGCTGGGGGTTCTGTTCAGATCCCAGAATCCCTGCTCTCCTCCATGCCTGTCCTCCAAGGCTGTCCTGATTCAGGGGTGTCCCCTCAACCCCGCGGCATTTTCCAGAGGCTGGCCAGGGTCACCTTCCAGGGGAGGACAGATGAACTCTGGGTCTGGGGGGCTTGAGGAGGGCTCCCCTTCTGCTCCTGCTCCTCCAGCCCAGAGCTGGATCTGGCTTCAGGACCGTGTCCCCCCGAAGCCTGGCCCGTGGCTGGGGCCTGAGGGACGGAGCTAAGTGTCTCCCTCATGCCCCCAGCCGCAGCCATGCCTTTCGGCAACACTCACAACAAGTTCAAGCTGAACTACAAGCCGGAGGAGGAGTACCCTGACCTCACCAAGCACAACAACCACATGGCCAAGGTGCTCACCCCCGACCTCTACAAGAAACTGCGCGACAAGGAGACGCCCTCGGGCTTCACCCTGGATGACGTGATCCAGACTGGAGTGGACAACCCAGGTGGGCCCTGGCGGGAGGCAAGACACGAACAAGGACGGGCCTGACCCGGAGGGGACACGGGGGCCGGCACGGGGTGGGGTATGCGTGGTACAGCCTTACAGGCAGGCAGAGGGCAGAGAGCTGGGTCCTTCTCCAAGGAGACCCCCAAGGGCAAGTGGAATGGGGGACCCAGGGACTATGCCTCTCCTCCTCTTCCCTCCTGGGCACCAAGAAGGTCTCTTGGCCTCTGTGGATCTGCAGGGGTGACCGTTGAAGGCTTGGAAGGGCTCAGGGAGAATTCAAGAACTGGCCTGTCTGAGGGAAACATTTTTAGCTCCCGGGAGCTGGCCCCCAGCTCAGTGGTCAGCTGCGGACACATGCTTACAGACATGCGCTCACCCACAGACACACGTGCACACACAGACAGACATGTGCTTATAGACACATATGCACATTCAGACACATGGAAATACACATACAAGACACACAGAGATAAATATGCATGTACAAGATGACACAGTGCTCATATACATACAGTGCTCACACAGACACCACACACAAACATTCACTGCATGCATGCACAGATGTGTGCATACACATACTGATATATGCATAAACACACATACACAGACAATGCACGGAGACACACACATACATAGACACTGCACATACACATGCACAGAGACATGGGTGCACACACGTACACAAACATACAAATCATGTACAATGTGCACCTAGAAGAACACATGCACACATACATACACAGATGCATACATACACATGAGTGCACACATCCACACGCGTGTAAGACATACATGGGGAGATACACATGCACACACATACCAGATGGTGCACATGTGCATATGCATGGCCACATGCCCACACTTTAAAGCATGAATGCTCAGTGAGTGCGCACACACACACAGACACGTTGGCACACACGGACCCACAGTCTGCTGATCCTGGACCCTGCCTTCCTCGCTGAATTGTCCTGCCCTCCCCAGGTCACCCCTTCATCATGACCGTGGGCTGCGTGGCCGGGGACGAGGAGTCATATGAGGTGTTCAAGGACCTCTTTGACCCTATCATCCAGGACCGGCACGGGGGCTACAAGCCCACCGACAAGCACAAGACCGACCTCAACCATGAGAACCTCAAGGTGGGTGGGGCTGAAGAGAGGGGCCTGAGAAATAAAGACAAGACAGAGACACGGGGGGGGGGGGGGGGGGGAGGAGAGACATGGGAGCCGGGAAAGATGGGGAAATGGAAGGAGACAACCAACAGGAGAGAGGGAAGAGCGGAGACAGAGACGGAGACAGAGATGGAGACGAAGACAGAAACAGATGGAGACAGATATGGAGAGATACAGAGATGGAGAGAGATGAGAGACAGATGGAGAGAGACAGAAATGGAGAGAAAGATGAGAGACAGAGTTGGATAGAGACAGAGATAGAGAGAGACAGAGATGGAGAGAGACAGAGATGGAGACAGAGATGAAGACAGAGACAGAAACAGATGGAGATAGACAGAGACAGAGACAGATATGGAGAGAGACAGAGAAGGAGACAAAATAGAGAGACAGAGACAGAGATGGAGATAGAGAAAGAGATGGAGAGAGATGAGAGACAGATGGAGAGAGACAAAATGGAGAGAAAGATGAGACAGAGTTGGAAAGAGAGAGATAGAGACAGAAACAGAGAGACAGAGATGGGGAGAGACAGAGATGGAGAGAGATGAGAGACAGATGGAGAAAGAGATGGAGAGGGAGACAGAAAGAGAGGAGGGAACAGTGGGGTGATAGCGGGGGCAGAAGGGGGTCTGGAGGAGCGGGCAGGGAGGCAGCCGGGCGAGTTTGGGGTCTCATTGAGTGCCCAACAGGGCGGAGACGACCTGGACCCCAACTACGTGTTCAGCAGCCGTGTCCGCACCGGCCGCAGCATCAAGGGCTACACGCTGCCCCCACACTGCTCCCGCGGGGAGCGCAGGGCTGTGGAGAAACTCTCCGTGGAAGGTGAGACGTCCCTCGCCCCCACCGGGGTCCCCAATCTTGGCTCTCCGCAGGCAGGTTCCCGTAGCCTCTGAAACCCGTTTTCAAAAGCTAGAGCTTCAGACGTAGCCCCAAGTAGAAGCTTGGGGACATCAAGATTTGGGGTGTCTGGGGCTTTAGAGAGTGAAGTACTTGCCTTGCCATTGTCCCGTTTCCCAGCATCCCACATGGTCCCCTGAGCACACCAGGAATAATTCCTGAGTGCAGAGCCAAGACTAACTCCTGACCATCCTCGACTGTGACCCTCAAACAAATATATGAGCAAAAAAACACCAAACTTTGGGGAGTTTGAGAGCCAGAGAGATCATACAGGGATTAAGGCACTTCCCTTATATGGAGTCAACCTGGGTTAAATCTCTGACACCCCACATGGCCCCCAAGCCCCACCAGAAGTGATCCCTGGGGCACAGAACCAGGAGTCAGCCCTGAGAACCACTAGGTGTGGCACAAAAGCCAAATGGAGAAAAAAACCCAGAACAAGAAAATAAATACATAGTTGGGACCAGAGAGATAGTACAGTGGGTAAGATGCTCGCCTTCCACCCAACTAGCTGGTCCCCAGAGCCGGTCCAGGAGTGATTCCTTAGCTTAGAGCCAGGAGAAAGCCCTGAACACTGCTGGGTGTGGCTCCAAATCCCTTCCCCACAAAAAAGCACAGTCACACACCGGCGTATACACTGAGACTTGACAGCTCCCCAAATTCCTGAGACTGACTTCCGGTGGTCTCCCTAGTCAGCCATACCCCACATTTGTGTGTGACTGGATTGACTCAGGCTGTAGGAAGGGAAGACTGATTTTTTTTTGTTTTGTTGGTTTTGAGATCAGTTTGGGCAGTGATCAGGGTTTATTGCTGGCTCTGTGCTCAAGGATCACTCCTAGTGGTGTTTGGGGGACCTTCTGGGGGACCAGGGATTGAACCTGGGTGGGCTATACGCAAGACAAGTACCCTACATGTTGTCCTATCTCTCCGACACTGAGATTCTGATTCTGACTGACTGCTGGCATGGGAGTGGGATGCAGGAGCACATTTGGGGCCAGATCAGGATCTGGGTATAGGCATGGTGGGATTTTTGTTTTGTTTTGGCTTTTTGCATCACAGCTGGCAATGCTCAGGAGCTCCTCCTGGCTCTGCACTCAGGAATTACTCCTGGCGGTGCTCACAGAGCGATATGGGGTGCCAGGGATAGAACCTATGTCGGCCATATGCATGGGTTCTACCCACTGTACTACTGCTCCAGCCCCTCACTGTAGTGTTTAGGTAGGTGCCTTCAGCGGCATCAGTCTGGGTTCCCCAGACTAGCTCTGGAGGCCATGGTGCTGGGCCAAGACTGCTAACCCCGTCTCCCCCTCCCCCCACAGCCCTCAACAGCCTGACCGGGGAGTTCAAGGGCAAGTACTACCCACTGAAGAGCATGACGGAGGCGGAGCAGCAACAGCTCATTGATGACCACTTCCTCTTCGACAAGCCTGTGTCTCCCCTGCTGCTGGCCTCCGGCATGGCCCGTGACTGGCCTGACGCCCGGGGCATCTGGTGAGGGTCCCCCTGCCACTCTGCCCTGTGCCCTCCCCAGAATCCCCCCTACTTCCCATCAAAGTTGACACCCTAAAGAGAAATGTTTCCGAGCACCCCAGCACCCCCACTCTCCAGCTCTGTGACTGACCCTGGAAGGGGGATGAGTCAGTTAGAACTTGGACTTGAAGCAGAGTCCCCCTCCCAGGCCTGTCACCCAGACACAGCAACACGCCCTGCCTAGTGTCCCCATATGTGTCATTGGGGTCAGCACTATTCCTGGTTGTTGGGGTTCTTGTAGAACCCATTAATGGAACATGTTGGAACAGTTCTATGGTCCACTTAGGGCTCATGCCAGGTTCTCTATCATTGCTAATGAATTTTCTATGACTCCCTGATTTCCATAAAGTGTCTCTGTTTTAAGGGCTTGGGGCACACCTGGCTGGTGCCCAGAGCTATTCCTGGCTCTGTGCTCTGGGGTCACAGATGGTGCTTGGGGGACTTTAGGTGGTTCCAGGGGTTGAAAAGGGGCTGACTGCATGCCAAGCAAGCACCTGAACCCCAGTACCATCTTTCAGATTTACTGCTAGCCTAAGATTTGAAAATGTTTCAAGAATCGACACTTCACAGGCTTTGGCGAGTTGAGATGCTAAGATTTACAGATGGCACGATTCTCAGATTTCAAGATTCTGAGAAATATTTTTAGGCTCAAAGGTTGTGCCAATTTCAGATCTCATGATTCCAAGGAGCCCAACATTCCCAGATCTTAATGTTTTGTGGAGCAAAGACTGTGGCCGAGAAATCTACAAGGTGATAGGATGAGTCACTGGTCAGAGACCAGAGGTAGGATTTCCACAACTGAGCAATTCTGAGGCCATACTTCTGTTTTTCTTTCTGCCCCCCCCTTTTTTTTTTTTAAGATTCTGAGATTCTAAGCCTAGAATATACTGCTCTAATTAAAGTCTAGAATTTAAGGGGCTGGAGAGACAGGACAGCAGGTAAGGCCTTGCACATAGCCACTGATTGGGTTCAATCCCTGGCACCACATATGGTTCCCTAAGAGCACCTCTAGGAATGTTCCCTGAGCTCAGAACCTTGGGCAGCACCACCAGGTGTGCCCCCCCCAAAACAAAACAAAACAAAATACTGTTTAAAACCCACATTTTCTTGACCCCAGGATTGGAGGGTTCCCAGGTCCCCCTCACTAGGTCTCCAGGGGGAAAGTTCCTGCAATTCTGAAGAAGCCCAGGGAGCCCCCGCGGTGTATAAGGGCTGTTGGGAGGGAGGGAAAAGAGATTCTGCGGATGGATTTTGCGGAGCTGATTCCTTCTTGCTACTCCCCACCCTAGGCATAACGACAACAAGAGTTTCCTGGTGTGGGTGAACGAGGAGGATCACCTCCGAGTCATCTCCATGCAGAAGGGGGGCAACATGAAGGAGGTTTTCCGCCGCTTCTGCGTGGGGCTGCAGAAGGTAAAAGTGTCTGTGCAGAGCTGAGCGATAGCACAGTGGGGACGGCGTTCGCCTTGCTTGCAGCTGACCCGGGTTGGAAACCTGGGCATCAGCTATGTTCTCTTGAGCAACTCCTGAATGCATAGACAGGAGTAACTCCTAAGTATTGCAAACAAACAAACAGAAAACTAAAAACAAAAATACAGAGTGTCTGGGTAGGAGAGATAGCACAGCAGGGAGGGTATATGCTTTGCACGTGGCCGACCTGGGTTGGATTCCCGGCACACTGTAGGGTTCTCCCGAGGGTTCTCCAAAAGTGATTCCTGAGCATAAGTCTTGATAACTGAGCATAGTGCTCAGGCATAAGTCTTGAGCACTACTGGGTATGGCTCCAAAACCAAAATAAAAAAAGATAGTAAGAGTCCAAAGCACGCCAGGGGGGGCAAACCACGCCCACTATTAACCACGCCCACCAGCAGAAGGGACGTGTCCTTATTACAAGACACCGCCCCCTCCCTGTTCCCCACCAACAGCTATGCCCTGCGCCTAGTTCATCTTTTGTTCTTTTCTTTTCTTTCAAACTTTTATAAAAGTCCGTCCTTTTAAGAGTGGGTCTCGGGGCTGGAGTGATAGCACAGCGGGTAGGGCGTTTGCCTTGCACGCGGTCGACCCGGGTTCGATTCCAGCATCCCATATGGTCCCCTGAGCACCGCCAAGAGTAATTCTTGAGTGCAGAGCCAGGAGTAACCCCTGTGCATCGCCAGGTGTGACCCAAAAAGAAAAAAAAAGAGTGGGTCTCCAAAGCGCAGCCTCTACACAGTCCCCCATACGCCCACCATGTCAGGTCTTAGGACCCTTCCCTTCTGAATCTCATCCCTCCCCACTCTCTCCTCCTCCTTCACACATTCTCACTCCAAGTGGACGTCTGGGTTGCGGGTGTTGTTGGGACGTCCGTGGGCGCTGACTCCCGCCTGGTCCTCTCTTTTCATTTTAGATTGAGGAGATCTTCAAGAAAGCTGGTCACCCCTTCATGTGGAATGAGCACCTGGGCTATGTGCTCACCTGCCCGTCCAACCTCGGCACCGGGCTGCGTGGGGGCGTACACGTGAAGCTGGAGCATCTGAGCAAGCATCCCAAATTCGAGGAGATTCTCACCCGTCTGCGCCTGCAAAAGCGAGGCACAGGTGCGGGTCCTGCTCTGCACACTGGCGGGGGGCTCATGGTAGCGGTGGGAGGTCTGGCGAGGGCTCTACTGTTCCATGGACATTACTGTGCTTCTCCCAGGGGCCGGAGAGATAGTACAGCAGGGAGGGCATGTGCTTTGCACGCGGCCGACCCGGGTTCGATATCTGACATCCTATAGGGTTCTTTCAAGCACCTCCAGGAGTGATTCCTGAGTGCAGGGCCAGGAGTAAACCCTGAGTACCACTGGGTGTGGCCCCCAAATCAAAACAATATATACACACTTTGTTCCTCCTTAAATGATCCTATCTCAATCTGATATCAAGGTTGTACCATATACATCGTGTATGTCCCCCAGGACCTCTTTTCCATTTGTAAAAGGGAAGGGTCTTTGGATTGGACCCCAGACAACCCAGTTCCTGAATTCACCCTCATGCTCTATTTTCTTGTGCCATGATTGAGGGCTGAGATAAGTTGAAGACGTGAGCTCATGAATAGGCATGTGGGAGGCGCTACTTGCATTTGTCACCATACATGGAGCTGTCGCAGCTGGCACAGGGATCATGGTTCCTGCTCCGCTGCTCCCTCCTTACGCCCTCGCCCCTGGTTCCCGCAGGTGGCGTGGACACGGCTGCCGTGGGCTCAGTGTTCGACGTGTCCAACGCTGATCGTCTCGGCTCGTCTGAGGTCGAGCAGGTACAGCTGGTCGTGGACGGTGTGAAGCTCATGGTGGAGATGGAGAAGAAACTGGAAAAGGGCGGGTCCATCGACGACATGATCCCTGCCCAGAAGTAGGCGCCCTGCCCACCTGCAGCCGACTGCTTGAGCCCCAGCCAATGGAAGGACCCCGTCTGCTGGAGGCCCCGCCCCTTCACCTTTGCCCCGCCCCTCACCGGATTCCCGCCTCTAAAAGGGCGGGAGTTGTACGATTTCCAGGGAATGGGGTTCAGCCTCTGGGTTCTGGCCAATGAAAAGCCTCCCTTACACCTGCCTCTCCTTTTTTCAGAGCTCCGCCCACCAACCGGAGCTCCACCTAGTTGAGAGCGCTCCTGCACATCTGGAGCTCCTGCTTTTTCTCCAAAGCAACAAGTAAAAGCAAAGGTTGCCTTAACTTTGTGCGCAAGTTTTTGAGGGAGGAGGACTCTTGTCGTTGGTCGCCCTGTGACTTCCATGTGGTTTGCCCTCTTACGAATGTGCCAGATAAGCTTTATCACAACTCTGCAATGAGCAGTTAGGGTAGAGGCCAATCCCCCAAATCACAGAGCCCCAGGGGAATCTGAGATCCACAGTGGCCTGACCCAGGGTCACATTGCTGTACTTGGGCCCTTTCCAACCCCGACTTCAGATCAGTCATGCTCAAATCACACACAACGGAAAAAGGGTCAAACTAATGACAGAGCCTTGAATTTGGCCCATGGGATTCATTAGCTGCCTTCTGCATCTCACCAAACATCCCTAAGAATGCTCTTCCCTTACCTCTCCAGTCTGCCTTCATTTCTCTATTGGTGCTGTCTTTCCAACTTTCCTTATTTCACCCTGTAACTCCCCGCCCCCCCCGCAGTTCCTGCCATCTTCCAGCATGCATAATTATCTGCAATTCTTCAAGAGCAAATGAAATTACATCACTGGGTGAAGGCTCATCTTTCCAGTTCTTTTCACACTCTTCCTATGACTATATACTCTTTCCTTCCGCTCCTTGAAGCCAGCATTTCCCACCTCATGCCTGCCTGAACTGTGTCCTCCTCCAGATGGGGCTGGCTCAAATCAGTCCTTTCCTACCCCCTGCCTTGAAGTTTTTAGGTATCTGCTTTTTACAGAGCTGAACAGGAAGAAGCCAGATGAAACTGTGGAGTGGTAGGGCCAATGAAAGGCAAGAAACACTTCAGTGTCTATTGGGTGCTGGTCATGTCAATCCTCTTTACTCAATCCAATAAGTGAGATCTCCTCACCCCTATCTCCCCAGCAAAGCATGGAGGTCAGGTGGGGCTCACAAAAGAGGTTCCAAAAGGAAATAAGGGGAATACTCAATAGAATCCTCAGAACCTGCAGGAAAAAAAAAATTTCTTGTGTGCCACACCCAGAGGTGCTTGGGGATCAAACTTGAGTGCTGTGTGCAAGGCAATCTCCCTACCTGCTGTACTATCACTCCACCTCACAGGAAACACTTTTCAAGCCTTAACTCATACACTCTTTTCTACTGAGGGAAACGGACCCAGGGATGGCTTGGAAAAAAAAAAAAAAAGATGGAACAGGAAAAGACCCTAAAAGTCAAGTCATCCAAAGCATGTCTTGTAGGGCAGAGCTATACTCCACCAAACGCAGTCAGCCCCAAAAGACAGATAATCCAAACAAATAAGTCCTTGTTGGCTTCAGTGTGGATGGATCACTAAGCCAATACTGCTGCCACCTATGGTTCTTCATAGAGGTATCAAACACCCCCACTCCCAGCTCTGGTCCAGGGCATACCCATTCAACTCTAGCGTAACCCTCAAAGCCCAAATTCAACACACCAACATGATGTTCTTTCCCTAATGGTCCTGTCAGAACCTGGGTTCCCCACCCCCAAGTCCCCCAGTCGAGCACGGGGGCCTGGCTCGGGTCAATGACTGTTTATTGAGTAAATGTACTACTGGAGTGTGGAGTGGCTTAGAGTCCAGTCTAACGAGTGCTCAGGGTGCTGAGTGGAGTGACTGGGGGGAGAGGGGCAACGAACAGTGACGGGGGGCCTCTTGGTGCCCTGACCTCTTCTGCAGCTGCCCTGAAGCCTCACCTCCCACCCCCATAATTGCCATTCTGCAGATGAGGAAACTGAGTCTCAGCCAGGAAATCCCCCGTGCTCCCCGACAAGCCACATCCCCTTCTCTTCATCTCGATGGCGAGAGGGGATGGAAACCCCGGAAACCCCAGGGTCAGTGTGGGGGACAGGGGATGCTCCTAAATTTATTGGGCAACAGGCTGCAGGTGAGGGGGCTGACGGGGGGACAAGGGGAATAATAACTTAAAAACCGGAGGTGACTGTGGTAACTCCCCCGGATATTTTTGCAGAGTGAGGGAGTGGGGGTATTTACAAGGGTTTGTACAAATTGCCCTGCGCCACCTAGGGCAGGAAGGAGGGGGCTCGAGCATGGGGGAGACAGAGGGGAAGGAATCTGTCTCTGGGACCTCCCACTCTAAGGACCCCCCCACAACCCCAATCCCCCAGTCTTTAGGCTCAGCAACTCTCTCTGCCCCACCCAAGGCCTAATTCTTGAGCTGTGGGGTAGGAACGGAAGTTTCCTCAGTTTCCCTTTCTGCCCCCAAAGTCTCCTCAGTGCCCCATGGCAGGGCGAGGGGGGACAGGTCAGCTGGAGGCTCTGCGGGATGGCAGGTGCCAGTTCCTCCTGCGACGTTCCCCTCACTCTTCCCTCTAGCCCAGCGGCTGGACAGTCGAGGGACCTCGTTCTGTCCCTGTCCCGAGAGCAGGGCCATGCTGCATGACACGGGAATCTGAATCCGCTCCCTGGCCCCTTTCCCTCCAGGGGAAGCAAAGGGGTCAAGAATGAGGCCGAGCGAGGCCCGGGGGTGGGGAACCGTGGCGGCTCAGAGCTCGAGGTCGTTGGAGATGCGGGTGACGAGGGTGCGGAAGGCCAGGGCGGTGCCGGCCACGCGGCGGAAGAGGACCCCCCGCAGGCCGGGCCGGGGCAGCTGGCAGACCTCCACTTCGAAGTGGGACAGGGGCTCGGGCCCGCCCGCACCCCCGTGCAGGCAGGCCAGCAGGAACGGCTGGGGCTGGCGGCAGCGGCAGCGGGCGGCCGCCGTGGCCTGGCGCAGAGCGGCCATCAGGGCCTCGGGAGGACGCGAGCTGGTCAGCTTCACACTCCAGGGGAATCGGAGCAGCCGGGGGGCGGTTTCCGCTTGATCCCAAGGTAGATGGCAACTGGGGGGAGGGGGAGGCAAGAGGTCAGGGGTCAAGGGTGGGAGGAGAGAGGCCGGCCCCCCACGCTCTCCTCTTGGGAACCCCCTCCTGGAGAGCCCTTGGCATCCGGCCTCCTCCTCCAACCCCAGAAACAGCCGGACCCAGGGCCCCGGGGCTGGAAACTACATGTCCCAGCATCCCCTGCAGCCGGGCTGAGGGCGGAAGCGCGGGTGCGGGATTCTCCCGGCCCTGCCTCCAGGACGCGGCTGAGCTGCAGCCAGCCTGGATTCTAGGCGATAAGGCTACAGGAATGGCCCTGTGGCCAGAACGCCCCAGCGAAAACCAGGACCCTGCCAGCCCAGCTGGGCCTTGTGCTTTGTCTAAAGAGTCAAAAATTCTGGTTTGGAGTCTGCTACTTCACACATCTTTCTTTTTCATTGTCCTTCGAGGATCCATTGTTTTCACACCCAAGACCAGGGTCTTTCCCCCAACAGTATCGGGGCGTTTTTATTTTTTGGGGTCGGGGGTGGTTGTGGGCCTGCGCACACACCTAGCCTAGCTCAGGGACCATTCAGTGCTGGGGATCTAATGCTCCGGCCTTTTGAGTCCTCTCCCCCAGCCATATATGTTATATAGACACATGTATCATACATATATATGTGTATAATATAGGTTGGAGTGATGGCACAGTGGGTAGGACGTTTGCCTTGCATGCGTCCGACCTGGGTTCGATTCCTCCGTCCCTCTCGGAGAGCCTGGCAAGCTCTCTGTGGCATATCTATTCAATATGCCAAAAACAGTAACAAGTCTCACATTGGAGACATTACTGGTGCTTGCTCAAGCAATGGGAGGACAGTGATACAGTGATACATAATTATACATATGTATTGTATTATATATTTCCCCCATCCCCCATAGTCACAGTGTCTTAAGATAGGTGCTCTATTGGCATCTACTAGAAGACCTAGAGATAATTTAAAAAATTGGGGTGTGTGATATTTTGCTTCTTTTTTGTTTTTTTGGCCACACCTGGTGGTGCTCAGGGACTTACTCCTGGCACTGTGCTCAGGGATCACTCTTAGCAGTGTCTAGGGTGCCATACTGTGATGCTGTGTCGAACCAGGTTGGCTCTGTGCAAGGCAAGTGCCCTACCCGCTGTACTATTGCTCCTGCCCTGAAGAAATGTTTTATCTGGTTCTGGGTTTGGGTCCTTTTGGACCACACCTGGCTCTGTGCTCAGGGCTCACTCCTGGCAGTGACCAGAGAACCATAAACAGTTCCAGGTTGGAAACTGGGTTAGCTTCATGCAAGGATAATAGCTTAACTCGTGTACTGGCTTTCCCAGGTCTGAATGTTATTTGTTTTGCGATGAGCAAGGGAGCCCCGCACCAAGAAATGTCCTACCTAGACTCCCAAAGGTTCCTCCTAAAACTTATGGTGCACATATCGGCTTTCCGGCTTAGGTGAGGCAGACTCGTCTTTAAGAGAATACATGATTCCGGTCTGACCAATGAGAGCACTTCACCCGGGCCGCCAAGACTGATTCAAGGAAGAGCATGTAACTAACAATGGCCAATCAGAGTAGGCCACGTCAAACATGTGACTGACCCCAGCCAATGAGAGTCTGTCGTGAGACTTGGCTGGGAACTTCTTGGGAAACTATTTCCACCTTCTCTAGACTGGTGCTGTGTCCATCCAAAACAGGCCATGGCCAAATCCAACACAGCTTGCTTCTACAAATAAACCTATTGTAATATCCATGTGCTTTGGTTTTCAATATGGCTGCCCTGGTGCTCTGTCTGGGCCAAATAAGACTGATGGAGATTATCCTCAAGGCCCAAGGTTTCCTCCAGGAGAATTCTGATAACGTTTGTCACCTGCTGACACAGGGCTACCAAGACCAGTGTTTGATCAAGGTAGGGTGCCCAGGGATGGGGGGAAAGAGGAAGGCAGATGGAAGGAGGACTGAGGGGCATTACAGGAAATTGGACAACAGAGGGTGAGACTCAGGTACTAATAAAAGGGGAAGTGGGGTGAGCTAGGAAAATGGAAGGGGCTGCTGTGGCAGTCAGAGGCAAGCACGCTCACTCACCTTGTGACCTCAGGTCCCCCGATTCTCTCAGGTTCGTCTGTGACCCTAGGGGAAGGAAAGGGGGCAGAATGTCTCATCTGAACAGAGGGGGACCCCTCCCCCAACCCCCAACCGCCACGCCCCCCACAATGCTGACTAGAGCAGGGAAATGCCTGAATTCGTATCTGATCTTCGGCTCTGCCCCAAACAGGGCACCCCTTTGGAGAAGGTTAGTGCAGGTTGTAGGAAAGATTCGGAAGACAAAGAGAGGTGTGGTGGACAGACACACACCTGCAAATAGGACACACGGCCACGTACAGACACACATATATACCCCCTCCTTTGGTGAGAAGATAACCCTGTTATCAAGGTGTCTCCCCCTTGAAACTGCACCTCTCCCTCTCCCACACCCCTGATCAACCATTGGAACTATTTGATAGTCAGTTGGTCTATTTTGCCTATTAGTTTTTGGTTTATTTTGGGGCCACACTTGGCGGTGCTCAGGGATTACTCCTGACTCTGCGCTCAGGGATCACTCTTGCTGGTCTCTGAGAGACCATATTTGGGGAGCTGAGGATTAAACCCAGGTCGGCCGCGTGCAATCCAACCGCCTTACCTGCTGTACTATGACTTCAGCCCATGTTTTGCCCATCTGTATCCCTGC